CATCTCACTCACCAAATCGTAGAGGAGGAAATCCAAATCAGCCAGTCCATGATTAGCAAGCTAGAGGAGCTCACACCACAGTCGCTGAGAGATATCGAGCCAGGCGTCAGAGTAAGCATCGAAGAACTTTTTCAAGTTATTAAGACTTTATGGTTAGGAGTTAAAGACTGGAGATTCATTTCTTTTTGACGATTTGAGTTTTTCCCGCGTTTTTAAGGCTTCGATTTGAGATATTAAGATATTTGAGTTTGGTATTTTATTTAAAGTTGTGTTATTTGAGATTTTTAATTATACCCCGGGGTAGAAATGTCTCTTTCCAAGTTCAAGGTAGCGGGATGTTTCACTGCTGCCAAAAAAATAATTAAGAGTATAAGTTAAGCAATGAGAATATCAGTAAGCCCTCGCTCTCACTATTTATTTGAGTATGAGAATATCAACAAGCCCTCGCTCTCACTCTTGATTTTAGTGTCACTCATCCCTATAGGTGTTTTAAGTTTACGACACTTCAGCTACCATTAAGATTCTGGTCACCTTGAGATGTCTTCTTTTATGTTGATGGCCAGCTGTGCTCCTTACCAAGATTTAATCAATATGGAGGGCTTGGTGAGATGGATTTAGGAGATCTCTGAGTGGTTCCGTCATGGAAGTCCTTGATCTCTCATGAAGGCGCTTTTTGTCATATATGACTTTGATGGTAGGAGTCTTCTTGTTCTTGAAATGTAGTTTATTCAGTTGGGTGACGGATAAGTGAAGTCTTGACCATATCCATATAAAGCTTCTCGTAGATGGATTTCTGCTTTGCCACTAAAGTATGAGATTGACTTGATGGGTTGAGAACCACTATTATCCGGTCTTTTGTTAACGATGACTTGTTCAAAAATGTTGGTGGTTCTGGACATATTTGGGGGAATGTAATTTCAGCAGGCTTTGCCCCCTGTCTTTGAGATTATCGTTTCATGAGTCGATGTTTGGGGTTTTTTAAAATGCAATCTGGCTAGGGATCAGCTGAGATTCTTGTTTGACCTCTATATGTTGATTGTGGGGAGTTCCAGATTCTGACTTGCTTTCAAAATGATGAGTGCTTGGATGAAGTGATTTTGGCTAAAAAAGGCTTTTTATCATGGAAGCTCTTGCTTGAGGTCATTTTTGTTGCATCTTGAGACTGATCGGCGAAGACCTTGACTTGGTGCAGGCAATTGATACTTCAAATATTAACCAAGGCACCTAATTTGCAAGTCCCACAACATTTTTCTTGTTTATTCCTTCTTTTTTTTTGTGGGACTTACTTGACTTTTTTATGCCCCCGACTATGCTTTTTCCTTCTTAATCTGGCGTTTGTCTTTGGTGGGACGAGTATTGAAAGGACCGAGAGTCTGTTTTGGTGATTGATCGTGTGGGTGTCACTTCTCGTTAGCTAGGTTGAATTGGCTATTCTTTTTCCATAGAAGTGAGGACATGTGCTTGTTTGTATCGATGAGTGCTTCACTCGCGTGATTCGTTTGTATGATAAATTATATCCTTGATCTTACGAAATCTTCTTGTCATGAGACTCTATGAGGGTTTTCTTTCTATGATAGTAATGTTTGGATCCCTGTGCATCGCGATTTGGCTATGTGACTTCACGTAAACTGAGCCTCAATTTGTTGGCAAAAGTCTACTATAGTGGTGACGAGTTTCTACAAGTAGCATGTGTTCGTATACTCATTACACCTTTTGACTATTAGCTCACATAATTCATGGACACCAATAGGGTGTTTATCTCTAGATTTTAGCAAAACACGTACACTCTCAACATCAGTGGGTGCTCAAAATTTTGACAGTAGCAGGGTGTTTATAATCACTCAACACCAGTGGGGTGTCCCAAATCTCAGCACCAGTCGGGTGCTCTTAATTGCTTATCATGGCAGTCTGATGGCTTAACTTCGAAAATAAGACTGGATTTGGATGGCTTTCAATTTGTAGAAGATAAATTCGTCTAAAAAAGGTTCTATAGTGGCATTCGTTAAAAAAAACCATTGATGCGAACTCTTAAATTAAGATTGGTAATGGTCACGCAATGCTCCGAAAAGGTAGAAACGTGAAAAATCTTTTATTCATGGTGACGAAAGCAAAAGTGATACAGATTTTGTTATGGCAAATGATGTCTATATTTTGTTTACTTAGATAGGCTCGACATCATCCTTGAATCGAGTTTTTCCTTGTAGTACGCCCACTAGTTCTCATGAGTTGGCGGTGAATTCCTGTTGACGTCTGGGCGTTTCGGCTCTTCTTTGAACTTCAACCAACCTGCTTTTACCATATCTTGAATCCTTATCTTCAGAGCGTTACAATTTTCCACTTAGTGCCCTTGGAATCCGGAATGGTAATCGCATTGCTTATCGAACCTATACCATCTTGGACATGGAGGTCATAGAGTCTCACCCAGAATAGGAGCAATTAGCCGTTCATGGAGTAATTGAGGAAAGAGTTCAGTATACGTGACTGGGATGGGATCAAATACCCTTTTCGCTTTCCTTGGGATAGTGACATCTCGATTAACACCTTGTTGTGGTACTGGTAATGGGATTTGATTTTGCTGGTGTCATGAAGTTCAGAAGTCGCAATATTGGTGTGGTTGTTGCAACATAAGAAAGAGCTTGATTCTTTTAAAAGTTACACTTCCAGATATTCTCTTATGCTTCACCTTTCGGTTGACTGTAGTTTTCTTTTATTACTTATCCTTTGGATTGCCCTCTCAGTCATTGCGTGATTCTCTAACTTCCCTTGTCCGATGCGGATCGCATGCTCTTCAAGTCTTTCTGATCTTCACGGATTGTCACATTTTGATTGTTTAGCATCATGCATGTTCTTTGAGAGTGAGAGTTGAGTCTTATCACTTGATGTTACTTTGTCGTGCGGTTGGTATAAAATTTCTTTGTCGAATGATGTATCTCCACTTTTCGCTACCTTTGTCCTCTCAATTTTTGACAAAATCCTCAAAATTGTGCTAACATCCTCTTTCATTTCTTCAAGCCCAATCACTCTTCTCTTGATGTCATATAAATCTGTCTGAAATGCCTCCATGATGAGCTGAGCCTTGGATCTTGTCGAGTACTTAAGGATTTGACTTTTTTCTTGTGGAAAAGCAATTTTAAGAAAACCTAGTTTCGTCTTAACATTGTTAAATTAATTCTATTCTTTATATGTATGCATGATGCTTATGCAAAAATGCAATGATGTATGAATGCAAAAATGGTTTTTAAGGATGCATATGCTTTGCAAAAATATTTGTATGGCCAATTTTGAACTAAATAATGAAACTTTTAAGGAAAACATAAAGATTATGGGTTTTGAAAATAACTTTCATCCAAACAATCACGTCAGTTAAGTAATAGACTGAACACAACATATCACATCAATATCAAACATACATTTATATGATATAAAGAACATCACCCTATTTAGGTACACCTATGGCTTCGAGCAGCGTAATGACATGGTTTTAGGGTGGCTTTTGGGATTGTTTTGGGCGGTTTAGGGAGGCCTCTAAGCTTACTAAATGCTGGCAGATGAATTCCTAGGGATTTGACTCCCAAGTTGTATCCTGCCGTAGCCCTTTCGAACTAGCTGGATACCTCGAGATCAACCTCGGATCCGAGTTCAACTTGGTTGGAAAGTTTGGCGTGACTACAACTACTGTGGATGTCACAGTACTCCTTTCGATTTTCTAAAGGGCTAGCTCGGGAATAGAGCTTTTGTGCATGATGCATAATTTAAATTGCGAAAATATAATTTCACAAACAAGTAGTAAACACCCAACATATAAAAGAAGGTAAGAAAACTTATCGAACTTAGTAAATGTAGCTCGACGCTCGAATGTCCCCAGCGAAGTCGCCATCTGTCGCAACCGTCACTCTAGGGCCAGGTCGCATTCGCTTTTTGGAGTCGCCATCGATCTTACTTGGAGTGGATCGAACACTCTTCTGTTGGCTCTAACCTTAGGGCCATAACCGATACCTGGTCTGCGATTAGAAATCTAGGTTCGGGAGTGCGGTTACGTGAAGGGAAGTGAAATCACACCCCACAATGCCCAAAGTTGGTACTACTTAAGTTTGATAAGTTTAAATGTGTTGGGTATTATTTTAGTAATTATGTATTTTTTTAAAAAAAAATCTCAATGGACCATTACTATATTGCTATTTCATTAGGTATAATGTAACTAAATGTTGATTGACGTATTAGTTTATTGTTAGGTATTTTTAGGGCCTTACTAGACCACTAAAGAATTTAAATCATATTAGTTGTAATTCAATTATCGTAAAAATTGAAGATAAAATTAATTAGTTAGTTGGACTCGAACCTTATCGGTTGCCTACGTACCCATATCACGGGATCAAAGCCCACGCAGTTCGTTTGATAATTTTGATGTTTTAGTTATAACCACGTTTCATTGATTGTGATTATCAAATGAGATCGTTTAGAGAAATATATATATATGTGTGTGTGTGTGTGTGTGAAATGAATAAAATGTTTAATTTTGAAAGGTGAAGAAAAGTTTTACGCATTTTAAAAGAATGGAATTGATCTCATTAAAATTTCGTATTAAGAATATTTATAAGTGAAAGGGAGTGATCAAAGTTACACATCATGAGGCAGTAGGCCGACTGGTTTAAACGCTAGTTTCAAATCGCGCCTATACTCAAAGACGCGGTTTCAAAACTAGGTACCTAATTTGGTGATTTTGTTTTAAAATAGAGATGAAGAGGGGGGCATTATGGTATTTGCACAAAATCGCGGTGGCAGGGGTAGTAAATATTTGAGAACTCTAGGGACGATCTAGTAAATTGAATATGTCATGTATATACTCCTATTTTGCAAAGAAATTCTAGCCTATTCTAAACCCAAAAACGCCGCCATTTCCTCCTCCTCCTCTCTCTCTCTCTCTCTCTCACAGTCTCCTTCTACTAACCAAACATAAAAAAAAAACTCGCTAGAACCCCATCTCATCTCCTATGTATCGAGACAAACATGGAGCCCGGTGGCCGGACAAATCGGGGATGATCGTAACCCATGGTCGCCGGCGACGAGAGCGACCGAGGTGAGATTTTAAGGTTGCGTGTTCAATTTTATTTGGTTTCGGTTGTAAGCTTCTAGGGTTTTCGGGGTTCTAATCTCCATTTTTCTGTTTTATTTCCAGAAATCGACTCAAAACCGAGGTGGGACTCTCGATTTTCCTTCTACTCTTCTCAATCTACCCTTTCTAATTGGAACAGAGGCGACAACGAGGAGATCTTAACCTCTGGTAAGCTTCTTTTTTGACATGCAAGTTTATTTTTTGGTTCGATTCTGAGGTTTTCGTTTGGGATTTTTATATTTTTCACTCGTCTTTTCGGGCTGTCGGCTTTGGAATGAGAAAAAGGCAAGGGCTACCCCACCGCCGTGGAGGCAGCAGCAGCCGCCGACAGCCGACAAGAGACTCAACCAGGACACTTCTGTCCCTTCTCTCGGTAAGTTTGATGAAAAGGGTTTTGGTTAGATTTTTATTGGCTAATTTCTTCCGGATCGAAATCTAACACTACTGATATGGTTTGAATGCAGGTTAGGGGAAATTGAGATCTAGGTGACGTTCTCCCATCTCACGACTTTGTATAATCAAAATATAAAAATTGAAAATGAGATTCGGTTTTTAACGGCTTCAGGTTCTGGGTTCTAATTAGCTAGGAGTTGATTTCTTAATCTGCTGGTCGAATTGGTGTTTTATGGAAGCACTTGGTAAATCGTTTGTTCTACTGAGTTTTTGAACTATAAAATGATTTTAAGGTAGCTAAAACCATAGCCTCTGCTTTTGATTCCTATATGATATTAGATAACCAAAAATCACAGCCTCTGCTTGTGATTCCAAAATGAAAGAAAAAGCTCTTCTTGTTTGGGGTCGGAATTTAATTTTATAGTATCGATAATGGTTTGGAGACTTTTATTAAGTTTATTTATTGAAAGGTTACAATAACCCAAGTCACAGCCGCTGCTCATGACTAAAACATAAACTTCAGCTCTTGATAGCTTGCAATCATCTGGTTTCTTATGCTATGATTTTTGTGGATCGATTGTAAGGTTAAGTTTTTCTACTTGTTAACGTGCTTTTATATTGATTAGGGATTCTAGAAAATTGCTATTTTTGTCCATTGCTATTATACATGGATATTGATTCAACCAGCTTAGATTGCAAAATACTGAAATAGGAATCAATAAGAATCATAAAACCAAATCTAGCAAATAGCACACAGATCTGATCTACTTATTGCCTTTTATCGATAGTATAAAAGTAAATCAGTCTCCTTATATTAGATCCCCCGTCAGAAACAAACTAGTGGCTAGTTTGATGTATGAGTTGGTCTAAAAACAATAATAAGTGGTAGCAAGAGCAAATCTCAATATATACATATTTATCTATCATATACATATAGATCCACCATATACATACAGATTGTCTTGAAGAAACACTCATTTCTATTTTCACAATGATTGTTAGGTAGATGAATGATTGCTTTTATACACGTATGAAATATGGGTTGTGTTTGAGAAATACCAACCTCGAACTGTGGAGTGGTTCTTTTGGTGGATTTTCTGCTTGTTGCTTGTCTTCTTTTGCTGCTTGTCTTGTTCTTGAGCGTATTTTGCTATTCCTCTATTATGCTCTTTCTCATATCGGAATCAGACTCCAAAATCACTCCCCCAATTAGATCTCTCCCTTTCTTTTTCTTGTAACCGACCTCCTTGTCCTTCTCTTTGTCTCTTTCCCAAAATGGTCGAACTCCCCCTTTTTGCTTCTGAATCGCTATTTGTCATCCTAAACTTTAAATAATTTCGCCCTAAATCGCACTAAATTGACATTTATACCCCTATATCACTAATCCCTAACTCGGATTTGCCGTCCAGCCCACCAAAACCGTCCGACCACCGCTGCAATTCCCCAACCCGTCCTCGCTTCCATTTCCCCACTCCGCCGACCTACTGTCGACTATCGAGAAAGAAAAAGAACCCCACGAGTCGGATTCGGCCGCCATGACCAATTCCCTAGCACGCCGACCCGCTGCGACTGTTATTGCTGAGATAGGAGGAAGATGAAGCAGGAGGAAGAAGGTACGAGCTGCTGTCGTTCCCTGGCCGCCCGCCGACCCAGCTCTGTCATTAAAGGAATTTAAAATGTTGCTTTCCAAACTCTATCCATTTAGCTATTCAATTTCATGTTCGAAGCTCTCTAAACTACCCAGAAGAAAACATTGAAAATCACTCTTCAAGTACTGTAGTTTGCTCAATTGATGATTTGATGTGAAGTGTGGTGATAAAGTACTCTTCTCCGTCCTCCTTCTCAGCAGGTTCAGGCAAAGAGTCGTGAATTCATGTTTGGTATGGTTGTATGTGCTTATTTTAGTATTTATATGTTTTGAAAATAAAGACTAAATTAAGGGTATTTAAGTCTTTTTAATGAAAGTTAGGGCGATAAATAAGGAGTTTTAGGGCGACGAATAGCAATCCCCTTTTGCTTGCAACCATTACTATCGTTTGTTTCTTTGTAAACGACTCCCCCTTTTCACTTTGTGGTAAAACTCCTTTTATATCTGTCTTTTACTGTTCATTTAGGATTGGTGGCAGTTTTTGGTTGTTCATTGATGGATTGGTGTTAGTTTACGGTCGGCTACTTTGCGGGGTGGCGCCTACCTATTTTGAAGAGACAGACGCCATTATTTATGCCTGAATTTGTTTTTACTTTAACTGCTTTCTTTTTGTTGCAGGTTGCTGTGTGCTGAGTGCTGAGTGGTCCTTTGAAGAGGTGGCCGACGCCGATTTGCAGGAGGCAGCAAGGCTTTTTGTTGCCCTTTGGGATAGGATAAGGACTAGGCAAATGGTTGACCCTTGTTGACCGGATTGACCAGGGTGATTCGAGTTGACCGGGTTGACTCAAAATTGGTGGGCCTGAAATGGATTTCTGGTTTCAATTGAGGCTTAACCTAATCCATTTTCCCTTCTTTTTTGCAGGTATGTACTTTGTTTGGGCTCGAAGTAGGAGGACAATGACTTCAATTTAATGAGCCATTGGTGTTCATAATCTCAAAATTTCACTTCTCTTTCGTAGAGTTTACAATAGGCGTTGTCATGAGTCTCAATCCTTCTTTTATTTAGAGATAGTTACTCATTTGTTCTACAATATAATAACTCTGATAATAAAGCTTGGCCTCCATTCATATGTCTCAATTTACCAATCATATCTAGGGCTGGGCATGCGGGCGGATCATCTGCGGGTTTGGGCCGACCCATCCGCATTTGATCCGAATTTCGTTAAGTGGGTGGGTGACGGGTTGCGCTGGGAGCCATCCGTCGGGTGGTGGGTGGGTTGTGGGTGAGTGTGCGGGTGACCCGCTCAACCCAACAGCAAAAAGATCAAAGTCGTTGGCGCTGGAGAGAGGAGAGTGGAGACGTTAGATATAAACTCGGACTGCTCCTGGAGTTTGAACCTCAAAACCAACCTTCCAAATAGAGATCCCCTCCTCTTCCCTTTACTTTTTCCTCTAATTCTTGTGCCTAGATCACCGCTCTTTCCTTTGTGGAATTATTTTCCTTAGTTCCTTGCACCTAATAATCGTCTCAATCTATAGAAAACTCTTTCATAATGGAATTTCTATCCAATTTAAGAACTAATTTGATATTTTTCGCCCTATTTTAACTTCTTTTTTCCCTCGATGATTCTCTTCACCTATTATCATGTCAAGTTAACTCCTTTATTTTATATAGATTGTGATGTGGGTGAACCCACAAACCCACCCGCATCATCCACCATCCGCCCGACCCAACCCGAGACTAAATGTGGGTGGGTGGTGGGTTAAAAATTATCAATCCGTTTAAGCGCGGGTGGGTCCATTTTATGGTCAAAATTCACCCGACCCACCCAATGCCTACCCCCTAATCATATCCAAATCCTAACCTCAATCCTATATCAATTATTTATCTTGTCTTAACTAATAGTAAACTTGGGAATAATTTGTCTTATCGATTGGTACTTATTCACTCGTCACGGCTAATCTCAACCAAACATGTCCAAACTTTCACCTTTTTTTCTTTTGAGTTTTAAGTACAGTGATTATCCCGGACAAAATGTGGAGTCTACATATGGTTGGGAAGACCGATTTGGAATATGATCTCTCATTATCCGATGCAAACTTTTCCACCAACAACTCCAATTGGCTCTTCTCTTCAAGTTGTGGAGGGTAGTCTTCATAATATGGATAGAACTCTTGAACATCCAGGGGGTACAGTTGCTCATAATAGGAAGGTAGTTGGTAGTCAACCCCAGATCCATACTCAACTCCTTGATAGCTCCATGTTGACTCGGGGTAACACCATGTGGGTGTTGGTTGATACCCCCACGGGTAGGAGAAGCTATCGGGATCCATGGCTCAACTATGCATCACAAAAATGATAGAACACAAACAAAACAAAAGACAAGATAAAAAATGCTAGAGTAACACTAAACTATTTTTTCAAAATAACTATTGGTCCCCGGCAACGGCGCCAAAAACTTGACTCACCACGGATACACTGCATTTTAAATCCTGACTATAGCTCAAGCATAAACTCTAGTCGTGTGCAGTATAGGATAAGTATGTTTAATTGTCAACTCCGGGCCGGTCCATGTGGACTTCAATCGCTAAGTTTGTTATCTAGCAAACGTTTTTGGTTTAAAACTAAGAAAACTACATATGAAAACAAGCAAGTAAAGTAAATCGAGGTTGTCCCAATGAGAGAAGAGTCCACACGGGTATTGCTCCCCCTATCTACATATCAAGATCGCCCAAATCGAATGCAAATGTGTGGAGGTGTGTTAATACACCGTAGGAGGGCGCAACAAGTGAAGGAAACCTCACTCTCTTAATCAATGGATTAAGGACTTTTACGATATACTAGGGTGTCTAGCTCTCTTAACCTTTCGGCTAAGGATTGCAACAATAAGCTAGGAGTCCTAGCTCTCTTAACCGATGAAACTAAGGGTTGCAAGAACCAATCCCTCGGAACTTAATCCAGACGGCAAAGTAACACCCAAGTTAAAGTGCTAAATCGAAGTTTGAGGTTTGCCCTAATTTTCCCTAGGTAGGTGACTCAATTGGCCAAGGAATTTAGCTTATCAAAGCCTCCTAACAAAAAGGATAATTACCTCTACCTAGGTCAAATTGGCATAGTAATGAGAAATGAAGAACACAACCCAACCATCATGAAAATACCTCAAACTTTGCTTTAAACACAAACTCACACACAAAGCATTCAATTAATACAATCTATCACATATTTCAAGCTAGGGTTCACAACACCCAAGTGAATAGGTAGGTTAGTCCATAGCTAGGCAAAGGAAAATAAGAAAAAAGAGAGAAAGAACCATGAAAAGATGACAATATTCCTTCCTCCTTGCTTGAATCTCCCTTGAGAGGTAAAAATCTTCACTACTCTAGTTTAGGGCAAGCCCAATCTTCTTCTTCCTCTTTTGAATGTCAATTTCTCTCTCTAGAATAGGAAGAGAAAACCCTAATCTCTCACTAGAAACCCTCCTTTATTCTGAAAACTAAAATCCTAGAAAAAATTCCCCTTTCTCTCTCCCAACAACCTTCAATTATTAGAGCCTGATGGTCACTTTTCACGGTCATAGGTCACAGCCGTGACAATTGAGCTCTGACTTTGACAGGACCAAAACACAAGTCACCGGTTCGT